AAAAAAAAAAAAAAAAAAAGGCAATTCAAAGGGTCATAAATTCACGCTAAACTGTTCTGAACTATGCTCACCCATCAGCAGTTCACTCCCCACAGATATATGAAGCTATCTTGAACTTATTTAAGGCAATTTAAAACATGTTTGGAATATGCTGCTTCGAGGGGTCAAGAATGCCTGACTTGCACTGGTGCTGAATAGATAAATGCTTTGTTTTTTGAAATTTCTGCCTTTTTGGCTTCTAAGTTAAAAACAAAGCCCTTACATTCATTCCAACGTTGGATTAAGCATTACACAAGGCAAAGCACTACACAGATATAACCCCTGCTCTTGTGCAACCTGCAGTCCCAGCCAGAGAGTGGCTCTAAGCTTTCTGGACATACTAACTCAGGGAGCAGTGGCAGAATTGCTGCATTCCCCACAAATCAGAGTACTGGGGCAGAAATCAGATGAAGGGAGCTGTAACACTGACCTTGCTGGGTCGGCGCACCTGCATTCCAGCACAGCACACTTTAGGGCCTGGGGATCTGATGAAGCAGGCAGTGACCCTGAAATACTGAACCACTCACCCTGCTTCAGCAGCCTCCAGGAAAAGGCCCTCCAGGACTGCTGGTTTTAGGAACTGCTACACCCACAGCAACCTGACAGCAGACGCCTCTGAGTTGGAGGGATGAAAAACACACAATTATCTTCAAATCCAGAGAGGCCAGAAGAAAAGAGCTATGTGGGCTCTCACACATTCCTCGCCTCTGCTGCTGCTTTTCCTTCCTATTCTGCTGCTGTGTGAATGATGTCATCAGACCTGGGATCCACTGGATCTAAGTTTGTCCCTCATTGGCCATCGGTGGGTAAATTTCTAAATCTCTCCGAGGGGTTTCCTAATCTGTAACATGAGGAAGGGTAACACCTAGATTATAGAATTTTGAGGTTAGTGATAATGTACATAAAGCGTACTTCTAATCTATGGTAAATCTGATGATGACCCTGACACTGCTGAATTATTTCTGTCACCTTTTGGTTGCCCATGTAAACACAAGGCATATGGAAAAGAGGGGATAAATTCCCTAGGAGCCTCCCTATCAGAAACAGATCAACTGGTCACCAAGGAAGTTTGCATCCCAGAATGGGACACTGGGTTCTCAAAGGTGTGGCTTCCCAGAGGTGTACACAGCTAATAAACCTTAAGCATCTGACGCTTCTGACCAGGCAAATTCTCTTCCAGAGCCGCTACCATCCAGATCCAAAAGAATAAGTAGGATGGGCCAATTTCCTGTACTTCTCAGTAAAAATCCTAACTCTGCCTGCCCGTCTAACATCTGAGAGCTTCCCGCTCCACCAGTCTGTATTCCAAATCTTTTTGTTCCATGGGCTGCCAGCACTGCTCACAGAAAGGACAGGGGCCTCTCCAAACAGGAACAGAGTATGTGCAGGTGGCAAAACTCAGGGACTTCATTTTGCTAAAGCTGGTCCCCTGAACATCAAAGCTGCCTACCAGTATACAGAGAAATATTTTTGCATTGTCCACACTGGCACCGAATGGGGACTTAGTAATTCACAACTGCACCCACTAAGCATGTCACCCATGCTTAAGTAACAGTGAACTTCTGGTTTCACCCTTCCAAGCCCTCCAGAGCTGCCTACAGTTTCCTCCCTAAGAAGAGAGCACTTAGAAAATGAACCAGTCATCATTCACAAAACAGAGCTTCACTGATTCAGCAAGCCATTCTATTAGTAACTGTACAATGAGTACCTGTTTTCAGAATAGTTTTATATCTGAGACAGAATACACAGAATACATATAGAAGAGTCGGAATATCGGGGACCAGAACAGAAAAAGATCTCTACCGCTGCAGTGTGTCACTAGCTTTACACCAACACTAGAATATTAGATGTTGTCTGGGCATTGTTCAGCCCTGTTCTTGGCACATATTCAATGCTCAACATGCGTATCTCCCCTTTCAAAACCTTTTTTCATTTCTGATCAGGTTGGTCCAGGGAAGCATCAAACTTTATCTGATGTACCAACTGTCCCCTGGTCCCCACTCCAAAAGAAAAGACCTGGGACTCCACGTCGTATTTAGTACCTAACGCTGCAACACCCAGTGATACATGATAGTGACCGAATGCCAGAGGTTGTAGCATTTCCCTATCATTCCTTCAACTCCACTCCACAAGGAAGCATTCTCTTATTACTTTTCCAAAGAATATTTGACAGAGAAATATAAACTGAGAGATTCAGAGTCTGTCTTTCCTTTTCTGGTCCTGTAAACATAAAGGGTTCTGATACAGATTGCAAATCAGCTTTATACTAAGGGTGGTGCAAAAAAGCAAATGGTCAATAAGGTAAGTGAGCCAAAATTCAATGTAAAGTCCCCAACTTAGAGAATTCAATCTGTAAACTTTCACAGACACAAATGGGCCTCACATTATGAACGTTCCTAGATGGGAACAAATTGCAAAAGTAGCATGTGTGTCTACTTTACCTTTTTTTTGGTGGGGGGGGTACCAAGGATCAAACTCGGGACCTTGCACTTGCACCACTGAGCTAAAAGTCGGCTCTCTACCTCACCATTTTTTTTTTGGTACCGGGGATCGAACTTGGGTCCTTGCACTTATGAGGTAGACGGCAGAACCACTGAGCTAAATCCCTGGCCCTATCTTTCCCTTTTAAGGTAACTGTAAAAGTAAAAATACTTTATAGTATTTGTATACTTGTTTTTTTTATGCTTTGCACTGTATGTTTGTCAAAGGTGCGTAAGACTCATTTTATCAGACTTAAGAACATTCCCTGGAATGCAATGTGTTCTTAAATCGGGGACTTCCTGTAACAGGAGCTGTCTCCACCTAACCCCAACCTTAATGACCAATCCTTTATCTGTCACTTACGAATATAGGTGGACTCCATTTTTAGAAATTCTACATATCTAATAAACTAGGGTGATTTTCTGTTTTTAAGGAATACCTGTCACTACCAAAGGAACTACTGAACTCCTTTTAGTGAATTTAGGAATATACCTTGAGCCTTAGAAGAACAGGCTTCACACTGCTGTGGTTTATACTGAGATGCCCCCTCAAAGCCTCACGCCCTCCTGAGTGGGACTTCAAGAGATGACTGGATTGTGTGGGTGTGACACTTACAAAGCAGCCCACTGACGGAGCTAAATGTGAAGCTGAGAGGCGAAGCCCGGCCAGAAGAGGTGGGTGGGGTGTGGTGGGACGGGTGACGCCCTTATTCCTCCCTAGCTCTTTCTGCCTGCCAGCTAGCAGCAATTCTCCTCCACCCTGGCCCTCCACCATACTGCTGTGCCCCGAAGGTGACGAAGGACTGAAACCTCTACAAGCTGTGAGCCAAAATCAACCTTTCTTCCTTAAGAGTTGTGGATGTTGGGTATTGTGTCTCAGCACGAGAAAGAGACACACACTACCATCTCCAGCTTAGGTTCTGATTTGTGTGCAACTAAATGATCGCTGCTCCCAGACTGGCCGTTTTCTTCTGAGCGGGCTGTTTCTTGGGCTTCTTTCCCATGACCCTCACTGGCAACTGCAAGACCACCTCTCCTGTGGGTTTCTGCAGCTGCAGCCGGACAGCACAATTCACAGGAACCTAGTGATGGACAAGGCTCTGGCCCCTCGCTCCATCAACCCTTATCAGCCACCTCTCTGGTGAGAACACAGGCCAACTCCTGAGGGAGCCCAGCTCTTCACCTAGGCCTCAGTGGACTGAGCAAGATGGCAGAGGCCAAAGCTCCCACAGCCCTGGGGAAGGGAGCAGTCAGGGTGAACTTCCTGAGGGCAGGGATAAAGCTCCAGAGGCTCTAATGCACCTTGGCCCCGGGCAAGCTTGTCACTACTTTTCAGTCTGCAGAGTCATGAAAGAAACATTAGGTTTGGGTCTCCCCACCACCACCACTACTGGGGACCAAACTTAGGACACTGTGCTTGCCAGGCAGGCATCCTGAGGTACATCCTGGCATGTTTTGGTTTTTGAAGACTGAAAACTGAATTTGAAAATCACCTCCTCTATTTTTTCTGCTCTTGGAAATAATTGTGGTGGGCAGCAAGGGATTACTTTTAATGGAATTCCAGGGGAAAGAGATCTTTTCAGTTTCCCATTTTTAATGTTTTAACCAATACCCTACAATTTTTTTTTTTTTTCTGGTTCCAGGGACTGAACTCAAGACCTTGCATTTGTGAAGCAGGCACAGGCGGCAGCACCTCTAAGCTAAATCCCTGGTCCATACAACTACAATTTTTTGCCTGATTCCAGTATATTCTCCCCATGACTTCACCTCACAGAGGCAAAGACCACGTCTCTTCCTCCTCTAATAAAGACTCCTGTGGGACCCCTCTCTCAAGACCTAATCTAACCGTAATCACTTCCCAAGGGCCCCATACCTCCACCTACCTGCACACAGAAGGGTGGGGGCTGGAGCTTCAGTGTATGAATCAGTGCAGGTGGAGGGCAAAAACATTCAGCCCACAGCACCAGACCCATGTCACTAACCCGGGCAATTCAGTCTCTCAGGAAGGGCCTCCCCACCCTATCGCAGGAGGTGGTAAAGCTTCTGGGACAGGGAGACTGAGGAGTCAAAAAATCTAGGAGAGCAGTCACACCATACACTCTTGCATGGTACGAAGGCAGGTTACTTCACAAGCATGCAATCGTGAAACTAGAAAATATAATACCTTTAGAATCAAACTCATTGTTGTCTGAGCCCCCAAATATTCAGGGTTCACTGGATTTTCAGGCTTCCATAGTCCCTGTCCCAAACAGAAGCCCAGGCACTGTGTCTGGCTCACCAACATGCAGTTTTTAAAAACAATCCTTAGTGAAAGGAAAATAAAGGGGCCCATGCAATGAGTGTTTCATGAAGCTAGAAGTATTCAAAGAAGTATCTTCATCTAAATAGAAGCTTCCTATGTCTTTATTAAAATTCTTCTCTTAGAGCTGGGGATACAGAGCATGTACTTAGTATTTGTGAGGCCTTGGGCATCAAATTCAGAAATAAAAATACAAATTTAAATTAAAATAATAAAATACCAGTCTTGATAAAACTGATCGTGATGGAATGTATCAGTACCTTTTCAATGGTCCTAAAAAAAATAAAAATTGAAAGTCTTAATGCTATTACTCCACTTTTTTAAAAAACCATAGCCATACTGCAATTTCCAACTTGATTACCAGTAGTAAGTCTAAACTTTGATGGAGGAAGGTATACATTTTTTAAAAAGGCAAAACACAGGGGCAAGGGGATGGCTCAGGGGAGGCGTTCCCCAACCTGTGTCAGGAGGCCCTGGGCTCCATCCCCACGATGTGGGGGGCGGGGGGGCAGCAAAATACAAAACCATACTTTGTTTTCTTTTATTCACCACAAAAATACTGCAAGAAAAAAATGAGTACAGATCATTTCTAAAACTCAAGATCCCAAGGACAGGAATTTTCATCTGCTTTGCTTGCTGTTGTGACCCTAGCACCCGATAAAGTATCTGGCATATAGATGTTCAACATTTGTTAAATGAATGAACAAAAATAAAACAGTAACAGTCAAACATAATCCCACTACCTTGAAATAAGCACTTCTAGAAAAAGATTTGACTTTTTTGTGTGACTTCATCCACAACAAATTAAAAAT